ATGATCCAGTGCTACTGACTTTGGTGGAGCCATCCCATCGGGCAACTCCTAGCCTCTAAGCGCATAAAGGCTTGTCCTGGCCTGCCTTGGCTAGGACGCCGCACGGGTTTCTTCCACTGTAGAACTACCCTTGTGACAAGGTGGCATTTAAATGGGCATAAGAAACTGAAAGCTTCTTAAGGCAAACAAGAGTATGCTTGGCAAATTCAACATAAGAACAACTATCGTGTATACCATATCTATTATTTATTATTGCATGCCATCAATTGGAAATTTCAATGGGAAATCTACAGTCATATCCCTTTCAGGGTTGCTTACTTCTCTCCAATTAAGATGGTCATTGTTTGAATCACCAAAACCCTAATGAAAGCTTCTCATGGTTTGTCTAACTTTGTTTTTCTGACCATTAACCATCAAAATGGTATTACTGAGTAGTAGATACATTCATGTAGTCCCCTAAAGCTAAGGTTTACACCCAAAACCTCAACATGAGACTTGCAATAGAAGTAGATCAAGAATAGATACATTCATGGCATAACAAGATTCATGTAACTGCCCCCATATGGTTGGAACAAGGTTTAGGTGAGGTGATGGGGATGAGGCATGATGTGAGGTGTTCCATTATCCTAAGGCATGAAGCATAAACAAGAACTTAAGAGGCATAAGCCTCCCAAGCATGGATTTTTTAATTAAAAAATATTTAAAATAAATATAGTTATCATCCCAAAAATTATGAGAATTTAGAAAATTTCATACTTACAGTTCCAAATAACACATTCATCATATTTAAAGATAAAACTGAATTATCATCATCCATGATACATGACTTGCAAAGTTTCATATCAAAATTTCAGAATTAAAAGGTAAGAGCATATGAGGTTTATGCTTCCTGCATAAAGGTGTACCTCTTTCTAAGGGCTTCTGAGCTCCAATTGTATGCCTCAAGTGTATCTGTATCAAAGTGTACTGTAATGGAACACCACAGTAGACACATTAATTCACACCAAGGAACTTTGGTATATCTCCTATATCCTGTGTCTTCTTATATTTGCCAGTTTGAGAGCAAAATGTCAAAAACCATATGTATCAGCCAAAACAGGCTGAAGTATACTATATTTATTCTTTTATATCATTTTATTGTTGTCACCTTAGGTACTTTAGGGTCTATGAGGCTTAGTGAATGCTTGCATCTCCTGGATGGTAAGTGAGAAACTCCATTATCATTACTATAAAGGCAATTAAGTACTAAAATGTTCTTTGTTTCATTTACCTTAATATGCTAATGATTAAAAAAAAGATCGTTTTGATTGGAGGATGTTGTTTTCATTCTTTCTGGAGCTAAACCTTCAACTTTGATGGCATGTCTTTGCAAAGTTACTTATATGAGATTTGCATGTGTATTTTCTTTGTTAGTATAACTAGATATTTAAATTTGCAGCCTAGAAAAAATTAAGCCAGAGAAGGAACTTCAACGTGCCACAGCTGAAATTTTACGTTGCAAACTGAGAATACGTGAATTATTTCAGCACCTTAGTTCTTTATGTTCTGTAGGAAGGCTTCAGGAGTCTTTGTTTGATTCTGAAGGACAAATCTACAGTGAGGATGTATGTGGAATCTGTTGAACTTATTACCTCTGTTTGTCTTCTTTAAAGCTGTTATTTACTTCTCTTATTTATTGTTTTTGTGTATGGGAAAATGATACTTTAGTACAGTGCTTAGAGTTGAAACTGTCTTGTGGCAGATATTCTGTGCCAAATGTGGGTCTAAAGACTTGTCTACTGATAATGATATTATACTCTGCGATGGAATTTGCGATCGTGGGTTTCATCAGATGTGTTTGGAACCTCCATTGTCAAAAGAAGAAAGTAATATCCAATGATTAGTTGAAAGTATTTCTAGTTGATTGTTAGTTAAGAAACATGTTTTTAGTTTAAAGTTTATTTCATTCTTTCTTGCAGTTCCTCCTGGAGATGAGGGCTGGCTGTGCCCCGGATGTGATTGCAAAGTGGATTGCATTGAATTACTAAATGAGCTTCGAGGATTGGATCTCTCTATTAATGACAATTGGGAGGTCAGCTGGAAACCCCTAGTTTCTCCTATGATAGCTGCTTTCTGGAATTGTTCAACTTATATCACTCAGCAACACTTTGTTTTCTTCAATTTGCAGAAGATATTTCCTGAGGCAGCAGCAGCAGCAGCAGCCGGAGATAACCAAGATGGTGACTTTGGATTTCCTTCAGATGACTCTGAGGATTATGATTATGACCCAAATGGTCCTCAAGTTGATGATGAGAAGGTTCAGACTGATGATTCAAGTTCTGAGGAGTCTGACTTCACCTCTGCATCAGATGACTCAGGTCCTCCACCCAATGATGATCTGTATCTGGGACTTCCTTCTGACGATTCAGAGGATAATGATTATGATCCTACTGCTCGAGATCCTGATGAACATGCCAATCGGGAATCATCTAATTCTGATTTTACATCTGACTCTGAGGACTTTAGTGCTTTAAGTGATCATAACATACCTATGGTCACAGATGAAATTCCTGTGTCCTCATCAGTGGATGGTACTAAACCTCTCACAGGATCAAGTGAAAGATCTAAAATGGATAGAAAGAGGAAAACACCTATACATAGTGAGCTCCTGTCCAAATTGCAGCCAGATGAAGAAAATGCTTTGCCTGTATCAGGGAAAAGGCATCGTGAACTGTTGGACTACAAAAAACTGCATGATGTAAGTTTCTATTCCTTTATTGAAAAAAAAAGTTCCTCTTCCTTTTCATTGTGGTTTACCTATATAGTTTTGATTCATGGTACATGTACTTGCTGGTGCTTTAGTTTAAAAGAACAACATTAATTGACTATAGGTAAAACTTGAAGCCAGTACACCTTGTTTTTTCCTCAACTTGGTATTCTGTGTCTGTGTATTTGTTTCTGTAATGAAGGTTTTTAGCTCATGTAAGTAGTATATAGAGAAGTATATGAATACTGCATATATGATGTAGGGGTGTTTTTGTCTTTCCATTGTATTTTTTTAGCTCATGTAAATAGCATATGAAGGTGCAACCATCCTTATCCACTGTCTTCCTGCCTCATTCTCTCTTCCTTTTATTTATTATTTCTCTTATTTTTTGATTACTGGTTGTGGTAACAAGATCACAAAATTGTCTTTAATGTGCCTCATTGGTAAGATAACAGGAATATTTGTATTGGTGCTTCTATTTTCTCTTAACCAAGGTTTTAAAAATGGAGGTGTAACACCAATTGTTCCACTACCCAGAGGCATGACCCATGGTTCTGAATGCAAGGGTTGGAAGATCTTAAGTGCAAGGAGGATGCATATTTATCCATGCATGGGATGAATTTTCATTTCGAGTTATCTATAAGAAAAAATTGTAACCAGCACCCTGACGGTACCCATGACAAAACCTACAACTGAAGGCCATTACCCAATGTTGGTCCCAGCTTGAAGGGATTTCCTAGGCATTGAAATAAGCTTTGTGATTTTTATAACAAAGTGGCCTCTCTCAGGATCAAACCCCCATTTTCGCACTTGTAAGCTCAAGATCTTATAATTGCACCGACCAATGGCTCCTATGACAAAACCTACTGTTTGCTGACCTGCAATAGAGTTTAGAGCAGACAACAGAGAGAAGAGGAAAGAATAAGAGAGGAGAGAATGGATGGTTGGCAATTCTGTTCTCAGCTGACCTTAAAGTAACTTTTGTATTAAAAAGATATAGTTACATAAAAATACAATTATGCCCCTGATTAGTGAAGCCACTTAACACCAAATAAAAGGAACTAAGTTAGGCCCAGTATATTGTTATAACTAATAACCCAAAGAAAAAAGGCCCATAAGATTAATCACCCATTACAACACCTATAATGCATGAATAAAAGGATTGAGAAGCAAGGTGCCAACCAGCTGGTTGGTAAGGTCTCCTGCTGGTCGTAGTGGAGACTTGGGATCGAATCCCACCTGCACCTGGGTTGGGGGATGGGCTACCCCCTGTTGTGTAGCCCTTCACAAGATATAAAAAAAATAAAAGGATTGAGGAAAAATAAACCTATCTACTGCTTATTTTCAAGGTTCAAAGCATCAATACGCTTGATACACACAAACATGAGTATTGGGTGTTCTGATTGTATCAAAAACTTTTTTTTAAGTTTTTCTTTTTACTTTGTGTATCACTGACCTCCCAATATGATGTGATACAGGTGTTTTGTATTGAAATTAGAGAGAGAGAGAGAATGGAACCAGAATATGATTAGGTGCCATCATCATCACTATGTATCTGGGACGATATATCATCCTGTACACTTATGGGACCAGAATATTTAATATTTGTTGAAGCCATAAAATGAATACCTGCTGAAGATATGGCTTTTTGCTTTCTTTTTCTCTTTTACTATTTTACCATGTCTATTGTGTGTGTGTGTGTGTGAGCGAGTCAGAGAGAGAGAGAAAGAGGAACGGGACCATAATATTTGGTGCAGTAGGATTAGGTATCATCATCATTACCATGTATCTGGGACAATACATGATCCTGTACAATTATGGGACCAGAATACTTAATATTTGTTGAAGCCATAAAATGAATACCTGCTAATGATATGGCTCTTTGCTTTTTTTTTTTCTTTTGTTACTATTTTACCATGTCTATTGTGAGATATTACCATCCTTTATTGCAGATACAATTACACCCATATGACTTGAACTGTATAGCGTTAATTATTGTCTTCTCTCCATTCTATTTATTTATATGTTTATCAATCCCTCATTTTTAAAGGAGACATACGGAAACCTTCCTTCTGATTCAAGTGATGATGAAGACTGGACTGCAACAGATGCACCAAGTAAAGGAAACAATTGTGCTGTCAAAAGTACATCTGTATCACCAAATGGAAATTTGCCAACCATTAATAATGGGATAACTACCAAAGGTGAAAGGCAGAATTTGGAAGTGACAAATAATACTCCAAAGGAAACTCACCAGATACCTGAATTAGGAGATGCGAGCCATACAGCAGATAAAACAAATGAAGATGATCAAGAGCCTTGTTCCATTGAAAAGACATCTACCACGCCAAAACATAGAAGTCTTGGAAAAGCTGTAACTCAGGTAATAGGTTTTTTTTTTAAGAAAAATCTTCCATCTGAGCTCTAGTTGTTACTTGTTAGATTCTGGGTCAATCATAGTTTCTATTTATTAATATATGGTAGGTCTAAGTAAATTGCAGATTTGAAGTAATTTATCGTGAGAATGGGGTTAACCTTTCCAACAGAAATTGTGGTCTTCTTAGTAGTATTGCTTTGCAGCAGCTAGTGTGAGAATGGTACTATTCTCAAGTAGATAACAGTGAAAAGTAGTTCATTCTCTTTAGCTTTCTGCCCATGTTATCTAGTCTCTGGATGTTAAATAGGAATGTTGCTGAGTTCTGTTTTGTCAGCATCTCCAAATGAAGGCTGCTAGAGTTCTGCTTCTCTTTGAAAGCCTAGTTATGATACCATTTTACTTTAATTCAATTATATACTTAAAAATGTAGTTGTCCATGTCAGCTTACTTCACATTGCTTCCAACAACCTTAGAATTTTGTGGGTTATTGAATTAAAAAATAAAAAATCGAATGTGGTCATCTTTTAACACCATCGCATGTATCACACAGGTGTCTTCTAGTTATCTTAATAAAATCAAAAGCATATTTATGGAATTTGGGTTCCTGACCCAGTTTTTAATGGGTAGTGAATCAACTATCCAATCTTAACAAAAAAACTTAATAAACTCATAAAGAAGTTTATAATATGGTTTTTTTATAAATAAAATCATCTTCCATTATTTCAAAGATTGGTTACATGAAAATCCCCTTAGAGAGGTGCGAGGTGTCACCTCTCCAAACAGCGAATACATAAACTACAACAGAGATTACATGAATGTTAATGTTAAACAAGAGTTACAGTTGCGCCCAGAACAATGTTTCCCTATTTGTCCCTTGTTTTGCCAAGGCATCAGCAAATGCATTAGCTGATCTCCCAACCCACTGTACTGTTATAGACGTATTTCTTGTCAGCCATTTGAATTTCTTTAACTCATTTTTGTAGCCCCAAGTGACATCCTTGAGATTATTTAACCAATCCACCACTGTCTTAGAATCCCCTTCAATCAGAAGCTGCTCCACGCCCACTTCTTTTGCAAGTATTCCTTGTATTGCAGCTAACAGYTCTGCCCGGATGGAGTTCCCAACACATAAAGGGCCAAAATAGAGTAAGACAACCGCTCCAGCCTCATTCCTCAATACACCTCCCATCCCAGAGGGACCCAAGTTACCCTAGCTACTCCCATCAAAATTCAGCTTCAAAGAACCAAGAGGGGGGACCCAACTAGTCAATACCCTTACTTTGGAGGTGGAACAGTTTATAATATGATTTTACTGATAAAAAAATTCATAAAATGTGGTGCTCCCCCCCCCCTCCCCCCAAAAAAAGGATGTGGTGGTTCTGTAGTTTGTATCTTAATCTTTGCTTTTTTTTTTAATTATTCTCCAGACATATAGCTGTAATAAAAACAAGCTATATTGTTTCTATATTCTCCACTCTAAACATCTTAAAAGATCCCTTCTTTTTCTTCCAAATCTAGTCTCATCCTTAGTCAACTTTTGCTTTGTATTCTCTCCTTATATCATCTTGTTAAAGCAGCTAGGCTACAAAAATGAATGAATGTATATATAAATATAGAAGTATATTAATATTTTATAATGTATTATATTATCATACATAAATGTTATGGAATTTCATATTAATTATACAATATCAATTTTTTAAAGGAAAGAACCATGAATTAATTTCATAGGGAACTACAATACAATGCAGTGCTCAAAACCCTTGCGCAACATCCCAACATCATTTGGAAATTATAAATTATCATACTACAATTGAAAATTATAAATGATGAAATGACAATGGGTTGGCTAGGGGTGCAAATGGATTGGATCATGATCCGATCCGATTTGGTCGAATTTGGATCACCCTTGGTCGGATCTTCGGATCACCCCTATCCGATTTGAGAAGATCCGATCCAATATATGTTATTTATTTATTTATAAGTATATTATTTATATTGTACTTTTTATAAAATAACATGTTATATATGTTGAAAATAATTAAAAAGTACTTGTATTTTTTGCTTTTCCTTTATTTAATTTGGTATATTTTATTTTTCTTTTAATAATTTATTAATTTTTAAAGAAAACAAGTTGGATCGGATCAGATCCAAAGATCCAACTTACCGGTAGGGTTCGAATTCAGATTGAGGCCTATCAGATCCAACTGGATCTGCCATGAACAATGTTGGATTGGATTTGGATATACCCTAATTCGAATCAGATCCAATCCGTTTGCATCCCTAGGGTTGGCTACATGAATCCTGTTTCACCATTCCATTCGTTTAGTATCATATCCATTGTTAAATTATGGGCGCTTAAATCATTTCTTTTTATTTCCACCCAAGACTTATTCCTAGCAGGTTTTGGAGTTGACAATTTACACTTGATTTTCAAAATAACCTCACACATTTTGCTCTACATACACTCCTATCGACCAAAAATGAGTTGCACATTTATTATTGTATAAATGAGGTATAATTAGTTATTTTCCTACTAGTAAAAACTAATTAATTATTTTTTCTCCACTAAGATGTTTATTTCTATATTGCTTGCTTAGTTGGTCTTCTAGGTGATCAACCTCCAAAATGTATACTTCAACTGCACTAACAAGACCTGTTATTTGTCCTTGTGGCTTTGAACTTTGTGGTAGCTTTTTTAAAAGAGAATGAGTTATGGAACTAGATGCCTTATCAGAATAGGGAGACATGGGCAAGAGAGGGGCCCAAAAAAGAACCTTCACAATATGCACAAAATACACAAGTTAGGAAATGAGCTTGAGTTGGCAAGTGAAATAGGGGAGAAGGTCAACTCCTTTGATCTTAATGCCTGAAGTGCTATTGGTGACAATTGTTTTGAAGTTTAGAGTGTTGGAGAGGAAGGAGGGATAAGAGTTGTAGATCCCACCTGCAATAATCTGAAATAAAATAGAACATAGAAGAGAAAAAGAAGATTAAATAAGATGGAAGAGAAAGAAAGGAAGAGAGTAGTTCGAACCTCTCTCCTGTCCCCTAGAGTAATCTTTTATTCTTTAATTGTAATGTGAGCACAACTACTGCCCTTAATAGGGCGGCCAGCACTAAAAGCAATAATGAAAAAAGAAGAAAACAGGCCCATAACTAAGGCCAATTCTCAAACATAACTAAATAAAAGAAAGAAACAAAGGCACATTCAGCTCATCATCTCTACACTCTTCCTCAAGCTGAGCATAGATATCAATCATGCCCAACTTGCTTACATAGTGTTGTAACTTTGCCAAAGGAATACCCTTGGTAGAACATCTACTAATTGTTGCTCTCAGGCAATGAAAGGAATACAAACTTCTTTTGAAGCCACACTTTCTCTAAAATGCCAATCTACTTCAATATGCTTTGTCCTATCATTCTGAATTGGACCGTGAGCTATTTTAATTGCAGCCTGGTTATCACAGTACAATATTAAGGGCTTATCATATGCAATACCCATCTCCTCTAGAAGTGACTTGAGGCATAACAACTTTGAAACTCTATGTGGCATTGCCCTATACTCTACCTTAGTTCTAGATCTAGCTACTACTAACTACTTCTTACTTCTTCAAGAGACAATGTTCCCCGCAACCAAAGCACAATAACCCGATGTAGATATTCTATCATCAATACTACCAGCCTAGTCAACATCTATATAAGTCTATAGTAACTTCCCCAAAAGTCCCTAGAACATTCCCCTGTCAGCCAAGAGATTGAGAGCTTATGATTGGCATCAATAGGTGTAGAAGCAGGTTTGGCACCAAGTTTCCCAGTCTCCATGAAAAGATCTAACACATACTTCTGTTGGCTACTAACCGAGCCTTTCTCTCAGTGGTGCCATCAACATGATACTTGATGGTGAACATTACATCTCATCGATTCCTTACCATGAGGCAAATCCACAATATCCCAGGTATTATCTTTGCAAAGTGCTTCTATTTCAGTTCTCATAGCCTCCATTCTGGCTTAGACAAGGCCTTTGTAACTAACTTGGGTATAAGTTGAGAGGAAATAGAGGCTAAAAAAGAATAATTAGATGGGGACAACAAGCTATAAGAAAGGTGTTTGGAAATACAATGTGTTGTACATTTTCTCTTACCTTTTCTCACAGCTATACTACCTCCTACTCAGGAAGGGCCAATAATGCATCCCAATTGTGCCCTACCCCTTACAAGAAAATCTGGTAATTCATTCTAGAGGTTAATGATCTCACCTCACTATTTAGAAGGTGATGTATCCACGGGCATTCCTCATTTTGTACTATCCAATCATTAATTGAGTTTCAATCACTTCTAAACTGATGCAGCTTGTGAGCCACCTCCACATGTTTTTTTTTTTTTCTTGTTAGAGAGGGGGTATGTTGACTTATTCTTGTTCTTTATAAAAACAATTAAAATAATGATAAAAAAATACAAACAATTAAAATGGATTGCAGACAAGCCCAACAGCACTGGTTTACAAGAAACTGACCAAAAAAAAGCTATAGACATCTTGGTGTGTTGGTTCCCATTTTCTATTCTCTGATAATTGCCGTCTCGTATCAAGTTTCAGCTTCAGGCCTTCTCTTTTCTATTCTATTGTATGGAAGAGTTGATGTGAACTCTCTCTCTCTCTCTCTCTCTCTAGAGAACTTCATACTCCCTACCCATCAAGTGGTGTGCAGAGTTCTAGATAATCTATACCACCTTATGTTTATCTCCATTCAAACTGTGAGCTTTACAAAACAAAACAGAAGGTTTAATGGTCTACAGACCACCCTGAACGAGATTCTAAAACTTTCTATTATATGTTCGACTCCATGTGTTAATGATTATGCTCCACGGTCTATGCACATTATTCTATACCACAGTCTTTTTTTTCCCTTAACAAGAACCTGGAAAGCCCAATGGCTTTCTGCTATAGACAAAATTCCAACTTCACAACATACAAGTAAACAGAGAAAAAAAACACAGTGCAATGCAAAGAACATCATAGTAAAATACGGTTCTTATGGTTCTTATTCAATTCAATACCTGTTGACAGAACTATTCCATACATTTAATTTGCTTACTTCGAAAAATTGTTTAAACTTGAGGAACCCTCTAAAACTGTAGTGACATTTTGTTTATTGTTTTACCAAACATTTGATGGTAATTTTGCAATGCAGAAACTCTACGAGGCCTTTAGGCGAAACCGGTATCCAGACAGAGCAACAAAGGAGAATCTTGTAAAAGAATTAGGAATCACTTTGCGGCAGGTATGCTTGCATCTGTGTCTTTTAGAGGGGGTTGAATACTATAGCATTAATTCTGGTTTTCTGTGTTTCAGGTTAGCAAGTGGTTTGAGAATGCTCGTAGGAGTTTGCGTCTATCAGCAAATGAAGCTGAACCAACTTCTGCAAACAAAGTTTCAGCTTTGGCCCCAGAAAATGGGAAAGTTCTTGAGCCTGAACCCAAAATGCCTTCTAAAGACGATGCCACCAATGATGGTATGGATAGAGAGTCAAGTAAAGAAGGCCATACTGAGGCTGTTGCAATGGAATGCTTGAGTGGGAAGGAGGAGAAAAAGGATTTGGAAACTGGGGAAAGCAGCCAACAGAAATTGGCAGCTCCCAATTCCAGAAAGGCTCATTTGGATGATCAAACACCAATTGAGACATTAAATAGTGGGGAGACTCCAATGGAGGCACAGAAAGGTCAAGCGACCCAGAAAAATGACCTAAATGCAAATCAGCAAGGGACTCTATCTGGAATACGGACTAGGAGTAGAAAGACTGCCTGATGACGTCATTGTGGAACTTATCCTTAACCATTGGTAACCCCTTGATTCACTCTGAAGCAGCCTCCTAGGAGGGCAAAACATGGGACTAGTTCACATTTGTGCAGCATTGCTCTCTTTGGATTCACTGCCGGAGAGGCAGGCCTGCAGCACAAAGTGCATGCTACTACTTTGGATCTCCTTGCCAAAAGGGAAGGGGGAGGGGGGATTTGTATTGATCTCTTTTTCTGGCAACATTGTATTGGTCTCAATGTTGTATAATTGGGAAAAAGTTCCCTTTTGCTTTAAACATATACCCTGATTTTGGAATTTCCCATTACCGAACCAGATGTCCAGTTATACTGGCTCATGATGGACTCTAGAGCCATTCTGCTTAAAGCATATAAATCCGTGCCCATGTCCTGCCTGCATGTGTTTCTCATGCTTACATTTTCTCCATCCCTAGTCCCCACGTTGAATCTGTGTCTTTTCAACCAAGGGTCGATTACACGATTATACTCCCCTTGATTATGAAGGGCCTATTTGTCAATTAATTTTAATTAACCACCTGGAGATGATGGTACGTGTGGTCTGTTTGTTAGCAAGTTAACATTACACTATGACATCTTGTTGATGGCCAAGTGTTTTTTTTTTTCTTTCTTTCTTTCTTTCTTTTTTTCGTAGGTAGATGGCCAAGTGTGTTAGCGCCCGCATATATGCGTCCAGGAAGCAGCAAGGGACCAAGGGGCAAGGGCGTCTCAATTCACTCTTTTTTATGAATGCTCCTTGGGGCAAGGCTATGTTTGATTTGATAGAATGTAAGCGAGAAGAATAAATCTTGCAAGCTGCAAATTAATTTAGAGATCAAAGTGTGCAGCCCAAAAAATTATTATCTTTTATATGCAATTTTACATTAAAAATAAATAAACTTTGAACATTTAATTCTAATTGCGAAAATCATAAGGTGGTTGATGTGGCTGATATGTTGAGTACATGGCCAATCTAGTGGATGCCTAGGATCACAGAGTCCTGCAAATGATAGAAAAGGTGGACTCGTGTAGGAAGTTCCTCATTTGATCAGATAAAAGAAACCCTTTTCCCTCAAACTGTCGCCTGAATGGATCCGAACCAGGGATGAACGGTCATCTGGATTTTAGTCCACACCACATCATTGCTTTTAAATTTTTGAGTATCGCTGCAAATTCACTCGTGCAAATAAAGGCGTCTACTTTTTGACTCTGCCAAGGTGCACCCCTACGCCCTCACCCTGTGTTTTGTCAACGGACATCACCTGACATTCAAACCCCCCCAGTCTTAAGCAAACGAGTCGGTTGAGACTTGAGAGTAGTGAAACTGAAATCGGATTTGCTCCTCACAAAAGTGCGTTTCACACTAATTTCACACATCTCAGCCCTGCATTGGGAACATCCTCCTATGAATGACAAAATCAAGTATGGGAGATATTCTTAAAGTGTATTCTTACACCCTTTGTTTTGTTGGTGGAAACCACCTGACATCAAAGCCACCAATCTTAAGCAAGTCAATCAATTGAGAGTAGTGAAATCAGATTCTCTTCGCACAGAGTGTGCCTCGTACTAATTTCACAACCCATCCCAACATGCATTGGAATGACAAAATCAAGCAAGAATCATAGTATTGGTATTGGGTATCGTATCGGACAGTTTGTATATGGATACAGATATGGATATAGATACGGTTTGAAAACCCATGGATATGGATGAAAGATATGAAAACACGTGGATATGTTAAGAAAATGATATAAATTTTGTAAATACATCAATTACACTAATTTTAAAAGCCAAAATAGTCACAAATAAAGCATAAATACATAAATAAATATTTTACTAATATAACAAGGTACATAAATATCATACAATTTTGTTGATAATCCAACAATCAAAAGTCCAAGACTCATATTATATAGTTTTTACAAAATAAAACATGCACAAAACCATTATTATGTTAAATTATATAAGTCCAAGACACAAAACATATGTGATGCAACCGTTTTTGGTCACGTACCATTTTTTGTGATGTATAAATTTTTTTGGCTAAGTACCCCGTTGTTTGACCTGGTGGTGACGTGCCTTGGTGATGAGATACTTGGTGGCGAACTCCCTGGGGGAGAACTACTTGGTGACGAACTGCCTGGTGATGCTCCCTGGTGGCGAACTGCCTAG